GGACCCCCTTTCTTCCCAGCCAGCCCCTCATGGAAAGAGCCAGCCCCTTTGCCAAGCACAGGTCCCTGGGAGCCTTGTTGAGGTGCTTGGGGGCAGCCAGTGCCCACTGATGGAACCACAGGAAAAAGCCAAATTATCCAAGTTCTCACCAGCTCAGCCACACTTGGCACTGCACAAACAACCAGGTGAAATATGAGTTTAAAGTTTGTCTGTGGGGTTTTTCCCACACTAGGTAGGAAAAGGCCCTGTGAGGCCTCGGCCCTGACAATGCTGAGGGGTTTTTTCATGGCCAGGGCTGCTTTCATTGTTCAAACCAAACCTTCCGTGTGGGGAGAACATGGACAAATAAGGGCTGGATGTGTACTTGGAGCTTGGCTGCTGGCCTGGGGGCTTGGCAAATGGGCCTGGACTGCAAGAGGTGTTTTGACATCACAAATAAGGATGAGGAATTAGGCAGAGTGGTGATCCGGAGAGAGGATGAGTGGGTCTGCTCTTACAGGGCTTTCAAGGTGCTGCTTTGAAGGTTTCCAAAGTACTTCAGCTCAACATCACAAAGAAACTCTTAAAATCTACTTTCAGAGAGCTGGCAATGTTCCTTTTAAAGAAATTATAAAATCAATCAGATAGTATCCATCCTAATCTTAAATGTAAAATAATGTATGAAGATCTTGAACTTATAGATAATATTTAATGGTTTATACATGATCAAGTGTATTCTTTCAACAATGAAGATTATACTATCACCAATTTCTTTACATTCATGGTCTATTTTGACAGTGTATTAAAATAAAGCTCAGCCTCTGACAATCACAGAATCAGTTACTTTATATTTCTATTTTAAACTTCTATTTGTCTGAATCAAGTATTTTTTTTTCCCAATTTCCTTTCCAGATTCTTCACATCTCTGTAGTTGATTGAACACTGTGGTGCACCTGACTGCAATTCAGTGTAAACCAGCAAGAGCAGCTTCCAAACAGACTATTAAGTTATTAAAGGTGCATTTTTATAGAAGCGAGTGTGAGGAACCAAAACTAACGACTATTAAAAACAGCTGGTTAATTTTGTTGCATTCAATCTTTCTTCATCTTTTACCTCATCGTTAAAATTGTGAAAGGCTTTTTAGATTGCAATAATGAAAAATAAACACACCTCCACAGCTGGCCTAATTGATTCTCAGGCTGTATCCCCCACACAACAAACATGCATTTGAAGAGAGAAAACTTCTCTGGTAGCTCAACTAAGGGCAGCTGTGATGATTAAAAAAGTCAACTTCTACAGCAGAAATATTATCAGTTAACTGCTAATTGATACTGTGTCTTTCCATAAAACCTTTCCATGGTATCCTGAGACCTACAGCCAGAAAAAAAAAACCCACAAAACAAAGCTGAAATGTTCTCCCCCAGTGCACTCCACCAGCCCATTTCTAGAACCTTAACCAGTTCTGTATCCACTAAATACCAACAGGAAAACTTCTGTAGTGCTGTAACGTCATCACCGACATGTAACACCTTCTGGAGCGTCTGCTTGGGGTGTGGTTGCACAGATATCACCGTGGAAAGGTTCTTCCTTCATATAAAAATCAAAAAAGCTTCACTATACTGTGGTGGGACACAGCTCCAAAGCTGCCAGAGCTCCAGGAACCTTTGGACACTGCTCCCAGGGATGCACAGGGTGGGATTGTTGGGGTGTCTGTGCAGGGCCAGGGGTTGGACTGGATGATCCTTATGGATCCCTTCCCATTCAGGGTATTCCATCATTCTACAAGCAGTGAATTCTTCACTTTTCACATGCACTGGAAATCACAGCAAGGAATTGGTAATAAAATACCCACTATTTTAAGCAAGAAATCAGGACAGTTAATTCACTGACAAACTCCTATAAGAAATAAACATTTTTATAAGGGAAAGTAGATGAAAAAGTTGCTGTAAATTGGTGGGTACTATATAAAATTGTGGAGAGAGTGGATTCCAGTCTCATTTGGTATTCATCCAACTAACTCATCCCATTTTACCAGCTGTCCTTTATAAGGTATCACTGATGCTCCAGTGGGCCTCAGAGACTCCAATTGCATGGAAAATTATACAACTGTCAGCACAGCTCTGCCCAAGGGGGGCTTCAGCATTGTTTTGCAAAGTGACAGGGCTAGAGCCTGCCTATATGTGGTATTTCTGGGATAAGGAAAGTGAAACTAATCTGAACATAAATATTTTTAAAGCAAATTCTAGTCGACACATATGTGTAATTTTTTGTATAAATTATTTCCATAGATTTTGGGGAGGTTCTTTTTATGAGCACTTAAATGGGAGCTTTTCATTAGAATATAATCACTTTAAGGCAGGAAATCCCTCAGGCATAACTGAGAGCTGGGATCTCCACTGCATCTATAGCTAAAGGAGCAATCAAAGAAAATTTAAAGGAGAGACTGAAGTCTCAAAACCCATAATAATGTTATTAGTTCATTCAGCATGCAAATATTATTCTACTCAACATTCAGCAGACCTCCCCAGCTCCATGCTGAATTGAGACAGGAGTTCACTGGGAAATGAACCTCACACCAGTGTCAATGACATCTGAGTTACAAATGTGACATCTTAACTTGAGAAGTTCAAGGCCTTTAAAACAGTTTCAAAAAGCACTTCTAAGTGTGATTGATCCTACCAGTCCATAGGTGGGACACCAAATACTAACATGGGAAATTAACTGAGTCAGCTCTGAGCTCATGACTACTTCTTACTTTCTGACTAAACCAGAAAATTCTGGTTAGGCCACGTTTTACTAAATTATCATCCCTGCTGCCAGGAAACCTTTCTTTCCTCTGCTCTGGTAACTGTTTCAGCCTTATCCCATAAAATTACAAGGATTTTATGAAGATAAATTCTGGAAGAGCTTACAAGGCAGGGAAGAACCAAGTTGTACAGGTGCTTTTCACTGTGCCACAGTCACTCAGGACTCCTGCTCAGCCATTTGGTTTCTTCAAAAAATGTCCTGCAGTAATTTTTATTTCATATTTCCCATGAAACCATGTGAGATGTGCAACACACCAAAGTATGAAAAACAGAGGAAGTTCAGTGAACTGTGCTTCACCAAAAATGATGTCTGGTTGGAAAAGTGATTTTCAGGCACTGTTCCAAATTGTGTTTTTTCATAAAGGCATTCAATGAGGAATCCACAGTTTGCTGCAGATACCAAAAGATAAAACTAAGTATGTCAATAATTAATTTGCAAATCATGTCTGCCTGATGTTAGAATTCTATTTCCACGTAGGAAATTATTATGTTTCTTTCCTTTAAGAATAGTCATGTCTTCAAGAATATCCTCTTCACTGAGCTTGGAATCAAGAAAAACAATGGTTTGGGACTCAGAACTAAGTATGAACTTATATTTGCCATAAGCCTTTAAAGTTTCTCGTTACGAATACCTTCTCTCCAGTAAAAATTTCCGGAGTTTGACAAGACATATTTCAGAGAACTTTTCCAAGCAAAACAATTAAAAATGAGATGTAAGCTTCATGTGACTGGGAATTCCTATTATGTGATCTACTTGAAAATTAAAACCCAGCGGAGCCTTCACGATTCCAAGGCTATGCTGATTGCCATTTGAAGCTGGAAAGGTTTTTCCCTAATGCACAAGTGATGAAGTGCACATAATGCTTGGAGGAAAGTTACCTTATCTGCAGTATCAGATATAGATTACTGCTGGAGTCAGCGTGCCACGCTGCTGGATCCATACGCTCTGTTCCAGTATGAGGAATTGAGTTTCCCTGATGTCATAAATGGAACACATAATGCAATTAACATTTCCTTTGAAGTTCACATTGACCAGGTAGCCACCAGAATGAGTTGGCAAAAGTTGACTGAAGTCACCGCCATGAACTCGGCTCAGACAGAGACGTCAGCTCTGACTTTCTGCAAACATGGAATTCTTGAAGCTGAGACATTGATGGCTGCTCCTTTGGGACCCCTCAGCTAGTGTAATTTATGGTATCACACTACAATTGACATGTTTATGGTCACACCAATAATTCCAGACTTTGAGGCATTTACACACTGGAGGTAACTAAATGATTAATTTTAGAAAGAAGAGAATGGAACAAAGCCAAGACTTCTATCTTCTTGAAAAAGAAAAGAACTTAAAATGAACATCTTGGCTACTTTACAAGACTGCAGAAATATAGACTGAAAGACTGTGTAATTTCCAAAAGTGTTAATACTCCTTGGAGATGAAAATACAGTGACAAAAATAGAATTCTTAGAATGAAACAGAATTTTACTTGCACTTAAAGAGAAAGAAAATTGTATGAGGAGAGGGAGACATTGCATCATTGTCAATGTTTTATGGGGAGATATATTTGGTTTGAGCACTGAAAACCAGACTAATAAATGATCAGGTAGAAGTCCCTAAAAACACTTAGGAAAATAGATGCTGGAAAGCTATGATTGGCATTATTAAACATAAGAAAGTGAGATTAATTTCACACACAACAGAAGTGCAACTAATAAAAACATCGATACAATCACAGGCTGATGATTTAAGCAAAATTACCTATGGTAATATAATAAGTGAAGATTAGTAACCTATATATAAATATAAAAATAAATCTTGATCTACACAGGAACATAATGTGCATCTCAAAACATCATTTCATACTCTCAAGATGTCCAATAGAAGCTGTTTTGAAGCAACTATTTTGCTTCTTCTGATCCCCAGGAGCACAAAGATTCAAATCTCTTTGCAATGCTGATTATTTGTGCTGATTATTTGTGTCATTTTAAGGAAGAATTAATGCACTTAGCTGTTAAAACAAGAAGCACTCCTTTCACCCCCATGCCAGCTTTAGCTATAGCTGGGCTGGTTTACCTTCTTTCTTAGAAGACTCTTGTTTTTTATTGTTGGCAGCACCATGAGAATTCTGTTCAGGTTGGAATCAAAACCTCTCTTTTTGCTGTCTGGAGAGCATTTACACAAAGTCCCCTAATTCAAGTGGAGCGAGGGGCACTTACCTTCTGTTGGTGATGTCTTCAGATGTCTGCAGAGCCCCTCTGTTTCCCCATAAGTCTCTTTAATTTTTACTACTGCTTCTGTCCCTCGGAGTTCCATGAGGGAGCGCAGTTCCTGCAGTGTGCACCCAAACTCTCCTGCATGGTTGGCCTCATTTCTTTGGTTCTTGGAATAAAAATCGCTATTTGTCATGTCACCCATCGTGGCTGGTTATATTGCTCCACTCGTTGTAGCTGATACAATCTTAAAACTGTTTAAAAACTGAAGGAGAGGAATCTCGAATTCCAAGCGGAGAAATTAAAAAGAATCCCGCGTGTGTCCGGCGAGCGAGGTGGAGGATGCCTCTGGCGTGGAGGGTGTCCCTGACTGGCTGGAGGTCACAGAACGGCTGCTCTCAAGGCTGCAGACCAGCTCCACTCCATTCACCATTTCCCATTATGTTGCACCCAAGCTGTAGAATCTACATGGTCATTTCTTCCTCTGGACCTTTGGGAGCAAGCAGAAAGGAGTCATTAGAAGGCGGGACAGGTGGGGATGTCAAGCAGCACCACGGTGGGGTGTCCTGGAGATGCTGCAGGTAGCAGCATCCACCCCAGGATAACACCGGCTGTGCCGTAGATAAAGCTCCCCGCGGCTGGAGCACCAATGGCAGCGCCGCTCGAGTCCCAAGAGCAGCCGCTAAATGAGATGAGTCATGAATATTAATTAGTGAGCGATTAGCCCGGTGTGCAGGACGCAGCCCCGGTACGTGCTCTGCTCCATACAGCCACCCCGGGCTGTCCTCTGAGCAGAACAAAGGCTCCCCGATAAGGCTCCCGGGTTAAAAACGGGTTAAACACTACCAGTCTTCATCACAGGTTAAAGCAAAACTGGGTTTTAGCACAAGGGCCGTGAAACTTCGGGGGAAGCTACAGAGCCAGCGTCACAAATGCAGAATATATTTAAATACATCACATCTTGCAGCCTTGCCTTGTGCACAAGTGAGCAGAGCGTGAATGCGGTGGGATGGATGTCTGGGTGGGCAGAGGCAGAGCCTCTGAATGAGGAGTCCTTTCCCCTGAGCCCAGTCACCAGCAGGCACAGACACACACAGGATGCTGCTGGGCTCTCTCTTTTTATTTCTTTTCCTCTTTTTTAATTTATTTTCTTTTTCATGTGCAGTGTCCAACGAGTCCCATTCGACCATCTGGGAGACAGTTGATTACTTGCTAAAGCCAGCCTTTAAAACCTGTTTCCCCTTCCCATATTCTAATGAAGTGGGTTTAAACACTGCTGAAACCAGCTATTATATTTGGCACGCAGAGTTTTAACAGAGATTAAAGGTTTCCTTTTTGCCTCAAGCGGGTTAGTGCGAGTACACTGTCTAATCTAGAGGTCTCAGAATCGTTTTCATAATAAAAAAGATCTTTCAAAGGGCACCCCAGCAGCCTAATGAGTGACCAACCTGTCACAGGCAAAGGGCACATGTTGAACTTTCTAGGCACAGCAATCCCCAGTGGAAATGATACATAAATGTCCAGATAAAGCACATCAAGAGGAGCCAGATGCGTTTCAAGTCCCAGTTTTATATTTGCACAATAATTTTAATCCCCCACCCAGCTCCAGTTGACATAACAGGCAGGGTTTGCTATTCCCACTCTCTGAGGACATTGCCATTGCTCTGCAGTGACAAAGATCAGCCCTGTGTGAGCACTGATTTGGAGTTACCTTCTTCAATTAACAAAACTGAACCTCTACCAGCCCTCTCCTTTACAGCTTCAAACCTCAACATTCCTTTGATTTCTGTGGAGGAAAAAAAAAATAAATAAAAGCAAATAAATAAAAGAAAATAAATAAAAGCAAATAAATAAATAAATAAATAAATAAGAATAAATAAAATATTAAAAAAAAGAAGTTCAAGTTTCACTATGATATCACAGACCAAAATTTAAATACCAGCCAACTGCTACACATTTCTTCCGCCCATCCTATTTACTGATCTATCTTCTAGTGCTAAGAACTTCTGCCACCCTCAGGTTCACATATTGCTTTTCACATTCACGAGACGGGAATTTCAGCACAAAATGTTTTTACAGCCAACAACAAAGAGAAACCAGAAGCAGCAGTTAAAAAGGGCCTTTACTTGCCAAGCAATAGCCAAGCAGGAGATGGTGAAGCACGCTCAGCTCTCCATCCTGGGCCCTGCTCTGCCTCAATCCATCCCCAGGTAATCCCCTACATACAGCAGGAAGAAAAGGCCTTACTCACACTATTGCCTTGTCTGTTTGTAAACAGGATGGATCAGTATTCCTAACAGAAATAGCATCAGCCTGCAGCATTATTTGGGAAAAAAATTGCAGGCCAGAAATGTCACAGATGCCCAGTCAAACAGGCTTCATCCCAGGAGGCAGCGAATCGCCAGGGCTCCTCCTTCCTACCAGCAGCATCCCAGGCTCTGCCTGCTGTCAGCCACAGCAAAATGCAGACTGAGATCTGATTGTCAGAAAGACTCTGAGGCTACAGTAATAATAACAAATAGCTGAAATAGCAGGCTGCTTTTTACTTCCAGCAGCTAAAAAAAAATAAATTCTGTTCCTAAGTGCAGTTCAGGGTTTTGAAAGCTGGGCATCTCAAACAGCCATGATTTTAAGAAAAAAGAAGACAGAAAAAGCATTGCTCTAAAAAAAAATCTTTTTAAACAATGCTCCAAAATAATAAAACTGTTCTTAAACTGTCCCCTAACACCACAGAGAAAAGACAATTTTGAGTGTTTTCTGAAGAGAACCATCTACCAATTTCATTTCTGAAGCAAAGGGTACTAAACACAGCATCAAAGACATTTTCTCCATGATCATTCTGTGGAATGTGTCCACTCCTCTCAATCAAAGCATGTCTTTATGCGCTAACACTATGAATTAATATATTTTCTTCTTTTCTTAGAAATTCATTGTCATTTGTCAGCCACAGCGAGACAGTGCTGTTGCTTTTCAGCATGAGTCATTTGCCTGCTTAATTTTTAATTTCACCTCTGATTAAATATTAACCAATAGACACCAAATAAGAAGTTTACACTTCCTTCAGAGCTTCAGAACCAAATCAGTGGCAGCCTGTGCTGCTCATGACTCACCTAACACCAGGGAAACACTGCCTCACGTTCCTGAGAGGCAGATGGCGAAAGGCAGCCTGCCCAGAGCGTGACTGACATTATTCCCTGCTAATGCAGCTCCCTAATCCCATGGAACTGGACACTCAGGATCTGTTCCATCCCAGAATCTCTCCTAGCAAAAGCCTTGCCAGGCTGGCAGGACTGACACCTCACCCCTCCTAAGTGGTGAATATTGAATATTTCTTCACCAAAAGCTGAGGAATAGAAAAGTTGTGGCTGGCACGTGGCGGGGCTTTGCATCTCCAAAATACATCCAATTACCACAAGTGGGGAAAACTAAGTTATTGCATTACCATTATTACAGTGGGTTTGGGTGAGGTTCTTTTGTTTGCTGTTTTTTTGGGTGGAGGTGAGGGAAAGGAATATTTTACAAAAGATCTCACAATATTGAGATTTTCCAGATGTAGATATGTCCTACACGAACTACCAAGAAATCCTGATGAAGGGAGGAGATACTGGCAAGTTTTTCAATCAAAAATATCCAATAGCACAATGACACAATAAATAAAGTGAACTGGATTTCATGCTCTGGGTGCTGCTTTCACTGCTCTGTCCATGGTGGGCTTCAGTGGGTTTAATTCATAACCAAAGGCTTCCTGGAACATAACAAGGCACCATCCCCAAGCCCTGAGAGCACAGCTTCCCACTCCATGCCAGAACAGGGTCACCTCCTCCTCCAAGAGGCAGATTTGGTCTCATCACTCCCTGTGAGAGCAACTTAGAGGGAAAATTCAGACATGCTCAACAAAAGAGAAATAGAAACTCCAGTAAATGTATTTCACACACAGCGTTAGTTGGTTTTCCCAGATGAAAGCAGTCACTTTTAAGGAAAGTTATTTGGTTTTACTTCTTCTTTCCAATGCTTCTGAAAGTAGAAAACTGAGTGAAAGAAGTCCCAAAGTGCATTTTGAAAACAGGAGATTGCTGTGGAGCAGAGATTTTTATCACAGCCCACTTGGGTACAACTCAGGTAACAAAAGACTTCATACACAGAACACCTGAGGACAACACCACCCTTATTTTCCTCATTAATAAGTCAGAATATCAGTCTGTACCTTGGTCTGGAATCTTGTCAAAGATGGATTTTGTTTGAATTTGTTGCACAAATGCAATATAAACTTGAGCTGGCTGTTTGGTTGGGGTTTTTTTGTTTTTTTTTTTCCAGAGTTGCTGTGTCTGGGGGAAGAGGCTTCCAGTCCTGTAGAGCCCAAGTCAAATATTTTTCATCTCCTAGCTGCTTAGAGGAAATGCATGCCAATTAAAACAAAAGCAATTTGGATGAGCTAACTGCAGGCCTGCTGGGAAAACTATTCTTTGATTTCCCTAATCAGGAAAAGTCTCATCTTGGAAGCTTGTAAATATTTTCACAGTGTGTTAGAATGTAGATATCATCCCCAAGTATTCTGACATCTGATTTCTTTTGGGCTTCTGCTGGCAGGAAAGTTAACAGCAGTGTAATGAAGCAGATTTCACCAGAGCAGAATCCCAAGACTTACATTTCACAGTCCTTAAAGTCTGGACAAATAATGGATCCATGATGAGTCAAAAAACAAACAAACAAACAAAAAACCACAAAAAACCAAAACAAAACAACAAAACAAAACAAACAAATTAAAAGAGGATATATTCTTAATCTGACTGCTTCCTCTAAAGTGTCACCTGAGGTTATGGCAACTCTGATTTCACAGTTTGCTGGTGGAGGAACTGCTTGAACTACAGGTTAAAGGGACAGAGAGATCAAGGCCCAGGCTCTGCTCACTCCTGTGCAGCTGGAAGCTGGCACACCCAGCTGGCTCTCCAGGAATTAAACTCAGGGAATTAGCAGTTCCCACCCTTCCATAGGGAGCGTTCCTGCCCCACTTGGACTTCACTTGGCTGTAGATAAAATCCAGCTGAGCCCTATAGAGAGCCCCCAAAAAAGGGGGGAAGAGCAGTGAAGTGTCATGTTTTAGTGAGTACAAGGTGCATAACCAGATCCATCTGATACCCTTCCTTCACAGAGCAGGACTGGAAGCAGATTTAAGGGAATTGTAGCTTGAGTCTGAGCAAAACCAGCTGAGATGTTTGAGACTACAGTTCCTTGAGCTCCTGGGAGCAGCAGGGTAACAACTGATTGCAGAGGATGAAAACCTCACAGCAGAGCTCTGCAAGAAGGAAAGGAAGGAAGAACGAGGAGGAAAACCATAACCTGCTCTGTAGAGGCCTCCAGAGATGTGAAATAAATCAAGTGTGGCCCAGCTGTGGCATCTTTTCATGGCAAAGCCAAAATGTCCATCCATTTGTGAACACAATCTTCATGAAGCAGAATGAGGAATGGATTCTCCATCCAGCAGCCAAGAAA